AGGCCACCTGAGCAGCAAATTGTGACCCTGCCCCCCACAGGTCACACCAAGGTTTTGAAGGACTTTTACTGTGGGGCAGATGAGTTTGTGTCAACCAGCACACCCTATGAGAACCAAGTACCTACATTTCTGAGGCAGGTATTGAAGATGAGGTGCGCATTCTGGCCAAAGAAGGAAAAGCTGTGGCTTCAGGACCATGCTGTGGTTACCTGGCCTGTACAGACGTTTGCTAGTTGAAGGTCCACTTCACAGACTGAGGAAATGAAAGAGATAGTAGCCACGATGAGATAAAACTAGTAAGTGAAGGAGCCCTACAATAGAATGATCTCTCTCATAATGTAATAGGAAGGACTTTAAAAATCTGAGAAAGCAGAGGTGAACCTATGCCACAGCTAAAAAATGGTCAGGTAGCTATTGGTTACCAGGCTGCAGCGTTAGGAATGGTCTTGTGATACATCTCTAGGCCAAGAGAGGAGAGAGCTACAAATGTACAATGTGGTCTAAGCTAAATGAGTGCACTAAGTCTGAAAGTGACCTGTGAATGTATGGAATACAATAAAACCTTTTACTCTGGTTCATTTGCTAGTATTTCCTTTTCAATTGGCTACTGAAGTTTTCCCTCTGAATTTTGTCCTTTTATCCATCATCAAGACTCTTAACCAGCTGTTTTGCTGTTGTGACTTGCAAATTGTAGTCTAGAGTACATGGAATAGAAGAGAATCTGAATTAGCAAGTTTTTTGTTTGCTAAATAAAACTATTCCACCTAAACAATTCTGTGTAATTTTTGAAAAACAAGTCAATAGTTTGGTCACTAGCAGTCAAAAGGCCATAAACTCTTAAGTGTGTAATTGTGTGTATGTATAGTTTTCTAGGGAGTTAGTAAAATGGTTTTTTAATCAGGGTATAAAGGAGTTTGTTGCCCAGCTAAAGCTTGTAACCACCCAGACTTAGAGTAATTGAAATCAGGTGTTCTTCGGTGTCACTCATATGGGGGAGAGGGGTGTTGTGATCATACGGTTAGATACAGTGTTAATGTTCAAACGTCAGCTTTCAGAAACAGTCAAGAGCACTTGACAAAACTGAGTGCATTAAAACAAGCGTGACCATTTAGAAAAGAATGTAGCGATCACTAGGGGCCACGCTGGGAGGGCAGAAAAGCCTTGAGGCAGGACGCCCCATTCCCCCTCCAGCTCACGGTACAGGAGAAGCTGGGCTTCTGATTGGTCTTCGCCCTGCCAGGAGTTACCAGTGTGGACCCTGTGGCCTAGCCTGAAAGGTGGGGACCACGTTTGCATTCTTCCTTTGCCCCCGTCCCCACCACAGAAAGCACACAGTGTTCAGCCTCACAATGCCTAAGGAACCCATTTAAGGAGTGCCAGCCTGAGATACAAATACGCAATGGTTCTATTGTCCCACTAACGGCCAACCTTGTTTGCTCCGTTGAATGCAGTTTCCCACTGGAAGTCAGCTGTCATCAAGCTCTCAGTACAATCCTGTAACTTTTAAGTCACTTTGTAGTATTAGAACGGCCTGATGTTTTCAAAGTTGTAGTCATTTGATTCAAAGCGCCCCACTGCCGCCACCCCCACCACACGCAGCGCCGGCCCTGTGTGCTGTTCTCCCCTCTGACGGGGAAGGAGGGTGTGGCCAGCGCCCGCTCTCCCCCCTGCTCTTCCTGCGCAGGCTCTGGGCTGCGGGAGAGGGAGGAGGAGGGGTGAAGACATGCCCCACGGGCGCAGCCCCCTGTGGTCACGGTGAGGTTACTGTCCCCGTTCATCCGGTCTGTACGTTCACTGTGGAGAGAGGCTCTGCAGGCCCCACCCGCCAAGGCCTCGGCCGCACACCGCAGTGGTGGTCCTTGATGAAGCGGGACTCTCGCTGCCCTGGGCCCCAGCACGTCGTCGACCCTCACTTCCCGTGTCTTCCAGACCCCCATCTCAGGATGAGTGCGGTCAGAACCCATCGTTTTTGCCTCTGCCGAGCTGCATAGCTGTGCCAGCAGGCTGCCCCTCCCTGAGGCGCCTTCTGTGGTACACTGTGGGCGAGTCCGCGGGACCTGCAGCCTCGGCACAGCCATCCCCCCTGCAATGTGTCAAAATTAGCCCCCAGACAAAATTTCTGAGTGTTTCTCTGACAGTTCGCCCCATGAGTTTCAGTCAAAGAAATAAGTCTAATGTCCCCTCCTTCATGGGAGGTTGGCGAGGGAAATACCCTGTTTTCTAAACACTAACGTCCCAAAACGGGATTTCTTACCCTCTTTCTAGTCTCTCTCGGACAGATGCGCTGCTGCTGAAATGGCACCTCAGCGAGCCCTGCGTGGAGGTACCTGCTCCACAGCTGTCGGCCTCTGAACTTCAGAAACCCAGTCGAATGATCTAAAAAATAATCTCGGGACAATCTAGTTGCCTGTCTTGACTCTCCGAACGGGATCCGCCGACCACAGGGACATTCACTTTCCCCCCGAGCCCACTCTCTGCCCTCACAGCCCAGCCGGCCCCTTGCTTCTCTCCAGCTCTCATCCTTCTGCCCTGCACCCCTTTCTCCCGACGGCGTCAAAAGCCCGAAGAACCAGGCCTAGTGAGGCAGGACACGCCAGACATTGGGGGGAAGAGTCGGCAGCCCCCGTTTTTGTCCCGTCACACTCTTCCCCTCGTTGCGCGCCGTGCGGGTGAATCCGCTCTCTCGTCTGTGGGGAGGGGAGGGCAGAGACGCACAGCGTGCACCTCACGCCCCAACATTTCTTTTCCTGATCTTGCTTTTTCCAGAGCTGTACCCCGGGGGGGTGGAAGAGTGGGTGGGTTGGGATTCATAAAGCTCCACTTTGTTCCCCTTTTGGCCTTTGTTCATGGGGGTCGTATCTCCTATATTAGGAATGCTTGAGATTTCCAATAATGAAAAGACTAACAGCAGTTTTATCATCATTTTTGGTGGTTTGCTCAAAGAGGAGTCCGGATATGGCTGGTCGCAGGATTGCTCTCCCCTCCACTGTCTTCAAGGGCTCAGAGTCTTATCCTTCCGTGGGAGGCAGAGTATCGGCCCCTGAATGATGTGATTAAGGTTAAGAGCTCTAACAGGAAAGGATTACTCTGGATTATCTAGGTGGGCCCAATTTAATCCTTTGAGTCCTGAAGAGTCAAAAACCTTTCCCAGCTGCGGAGAACCAGTGAGGTGAGTCAGGAAAAGCACTCTACCTATCGTTGCTGATTTTGAAGGTGAAGGGGGCCGTGAGACCAGGGATGAGAGTGAGCTCCAGAGGCTAAAAGAGTCAAGGAACTGGTTTCTTCCCCCACAGCCTCCGGTGAAGAGTGCCGCCCTGCTGACACCACTTTGATCCCTATCACGTGACTGACCACGAGATGCTGCCACAGTGTCAAATGGCACATCCTAAACCGCTGGACTCAAAGGCAGGGAACCAGGGAAGGGAGTCGAGAGTGAGGCCTTTTTCCTTTTGTCCCTCAGGAAAAACAGCCTTCCCAGAAGACTCTTTGGCAGCCTTCCCCTCACACGCGTTGGTCCCAGACTGGGTCATGTGGTCACCCCCCGCTGCAGGGGGGACAGGGCTTTTCCAGCCTCTGTGGTGGTGGAAGAGGAGGGAAGAGGGTCGGGGACAGCCTTGGGTAGCTGACACAACATCTGGCCCGTCTCCCATGGCAGCAACTCTGGATCCCAGAGAAACGCAGGCAGTGAGATTCAGGTACCAAACACCACCGAACCCTTACCCCCTTCCATTTAGTGTTTTGAGTAAAGAACTACTGTATATGTGGATTTCAGCCAACTACTTTGCAAAGCCTCTCCTGTGCTTATGTTGTTGCTGGCTATCATGGCAAAGTAGAGCAAGATAATACACCGGCATGCCAGCTCCCTGAGGGAGGAACCTAATTTTATCTCATGTCCCATGGTCTCCCTGGCTCTTAACATAGGGGCCCGGCACATGGGAGATGCTCGATAAATTTTTTGATGGAAATAATTTTCAACCTCTCCTCCAAATACTTGCTCAAGTTTACCTTGTCCTCCAGCCACTCTGAATTATTTGCAGTTTCCCTTACAAACTATCCCGCCTTCTTGCCTCCCTCCCTCTACCCATGACCCAGAATGCATTTCCCTATTCCTCCTGGCCTCCTTATCAACTCAAATCATCATTGAGAGCCAGTTCCCAGGCTAGGCCTCCCAAGCCAAATGCTTTTGAGGCACCATAACATTCTGCTACCATATCACGTTGACTGCTTACGATACCAGCGCTGGGTTTAGTGCATCCCCTTCATTAAGTGCCTTCAGGGAAGGGACCCTGCCTGGATCAGCTTGGCACCCCCAGAGCGCATCACAGTGCCTGGCTCTGAGCAGGCTCTCTGTAAATAGCCGTTGAATAATAAGCATGTGAAATGGTCCTGATGACTTGTAACACTGAAGAGAAAACAACGCTATATTTGATATTCAAATTATCACTTGATTCTGGGCATACTATACTCCATACTGTTTTTGTTTGACTTCCAGCTCTATCACTTAATCTTTTTGAGCCTCCATTTCTTCACCTGTTAAATGAAAATAATCATGAAGCCAATGAAGATTGAGTTAATATAGATGTTATTTAACTCACTTGCCACCCAGCTGACCTCAATATACAGTAGCTTTATTATTACAGTCCTTGAAAATCCTACTGTTATGGGCCAGAACTGTGTTTGATTAAAGCAGGCTCTCAAGGAAAAAAAGTCATACACATTCCATTTACTCTTTCAGAAGACAGTGAAACGTTGATACTCTTAAGACTAATTCCCATCCAAAAATGGTTAACATTTCTAAAATATTTTCGTGCTTTAGTCATCTGGAAAATTTACTTACATGGAAGAGGGTTTTTTTAAATTTTTTTTTTTTTTATATACAACACAGATCACTTCTATTTTATTTTTTCTGACGGAAAGGGTTTTTATATTTACTCAAAGTCAAAAGGAAAAAAGTCCAAGAACTTCAAAAGAGTTGTTTAAGTGATTTATGCTTCATTTCTAAAAGCAACGTATGTGTTTATACATAATTTAAAACTCGAAGAAAGCATGCTTATACAATTGTGTGCAAATTTAAAATTTAATAACTCTGGATGCATACACGATGGAAACAGTCCATGACACCTGAAAATATCATTTGTGGGACAGCATACAGTTCAGTGCTCTCAGTGCGGATATTACAACCATATTTCACAGAGCCTGGCATGGTTTGAATTTCTCCATGTGGTCGATAATGGTCCACAGTTGCTGGTAAGTGATTTTGCAAATTTCATTTATAACCCTGGCCCTACAATTACCTAAGTACTGTTTCTAGCAAGTTAACTTAAATATTATTCTCCAATCATGTACCTTCAAAGTTACTAACGTAACTAACTGCCGTGGGGGACAGTGTCAATACCACTTGTCACCACTAGGACGATGGCCGTCCCCTCACTGGGGAGAACGCTGTTTCTAAGAGTAGAAGTTCACTCTTCCAGAGATGTGTGAACTAGTTCGACCTTAATTCCCGACGTGCCTCAGAAAAAGGAAAGGCCTCATTCCTTCCCCTTTTAGGGGGTACTTTCGGTGGCACCAAAGGCTGTGGGGAGCAGCGAGATGAGCACGGGCTGGAGCCGCACCCGGGGGGGCCCCTGCTCTGGTCTGCACTAGCTGTGCGACTTGGGCAAGCCCCGTGCCGTCTCGGAGCCTCTGCGATGCTGACAGTTGGCGAGAACAACGCCCCTTTCACCGGCTGCGGTGACAGCATGACTTGATCGTGGACGGGGAGCGGCACACCTGGCGCAGAGGCGGGGGCGGAGAGACTGCTGAAAAGCTGGATGAATGAGCAGCATGTTTCACCTGCAGCAGCTGAAGGCACCGCTTACCTATGCCCATGTGAGGAACTGGGTGAAAAACTCATTTGTTGCATTTCCCCCAGGTTTATATTTGCAGAACAGGGCACAATACTCCACTTGTATAAGCATCAACATTTCCTCAAAACCCATCATGAGGAAATCCTGCATCCTTTCCCATCCCCTCCCGGGGGATGTAGAACAAAATGAAATGTGCCATCTGCCAACCAGCAGAGGCAAAGTAGCCAATAACTTGGACCAGCTTAGCATCCCTGTTCTGCCTTCACCCCCACACCAGAACTGGTACCTTCTCCAGGCATCAGAACTGGGATGCGTGGCGTGCAGCCTGGGGCGGCTGGGCAAGTGCGCAGCACCTCATTTTGTTTCAGGCCAGAGGGAAAATGTTCTGGGAAGAGGCCATGGAAAAAAGTCTGGTGAGCCAACACCTAGAGAACACAGCTGGGGAAATAAATTAGCTACTTCTATTGCACGTCTACCCGGAGAACAAGCCCGGGTCTAAATCTCTTCTCCCTCTAGCAGCTCAGAGGTGGCATCGGGCTCCCTGAGAGCCATTTCCACTGACAGGCTCCTCTCCACGTTCTCCAGCTCCTGGCGCACCTCCTCAATGAAGCCACCATCCCCGTAATCCCCGGGGGCCTCCCTGGGTACCAGGCTCTCGCCGTCTTCACTGCGGCTCTCGACGAAGGTCGGCTTGCACACATACACCAGGCTGTGGCTGCGGAGAGACAGGGCTGCAGCTCAGCTGAGGGCCACATCTCCCCGTAGGGGCAAAGCTGGGCTCTCAACGTGGGGAGCCTGGGCCTGAGACGGAGCCTCTACCTCATGCTGCTGCTGGCGTGTCTTCCAGTCTCACCTTCACAAACCCTCCTCTAACATCTCTTCAACAGTCTTAACTTTCCTGTCAATACCTTGCTTTGAAAAGCTTGCCCCTGGAAGCTCGCTTTCGGAGTACGTACTCAAGGAACAGCTCCCCTCGCCTTTAGGGTCTGTCTTCCTGCGAGCAACCCTCTCAGGCTCTGCATCCCAGGGGCAGGCCCTGAGGAGGAGGACATGGGGGTCTGCGAACGTACAGCCCGCTGCCCATCTGGGCCTCCAGGCAGGAGCAGCCCCAGGCAGTGGGACAGGAAGGACCTCACCGCCTCAAACCTGTGCCTGTGCGGTGCCTGGGGCCTGTGGGGCAGGGACGGGTGCCATCGGCCAGGCTACCCTGGATTCTGCGGGGAGAGAAGGCTGAGTAGCGGCTGCTGAGAGGTCCAGGGAGATGCGCGCTGAGACATGGCCGTGGTGCAGCCCCGGTGCCTCTCGGTCTCTTGGCAGCTTCCAACCATTGCTGGCGTCCTCCACTGTGGGGGCGACTCTCCCAGTTTCCCTCCTACCTCTCTGACTGCACCTTCTTGGCCACCTCTGCGGGCTCCTTCTCCACTTGTTCTTTGTTGTGGTGGGTCTGGGCTCCCCTCAGCCCTCAACGCCTCTCCCTCCACACCCTCTTCCCCAACCACCCACTCACCAGGCTTCAACTTCCATCTGCATGAGTGGTCCCCGGCCACACCTTCTCCCCAGCCCCAGACTTACAGGTCTGACAGCTATTGAAGCCCACTGTCCGGAAGACCCAAGGACATGTCAGATCAAACCCGTGCTAAACTGAATCCATGCTTTCCCCCTGCTCCTGCTCCAGAGCCCCCACTGGGTGGAATCTCATCCCCGCTTGGCCCCTGACGAGGAGGGCAGGTGGGGCCTCACCTGTGAGGCTGGCAGAGGAGGCCACTGGCACATGGGCATCGGTCCAAAGCTCCCTCCGGCTCCAGCTCCCAGGTGATGAGATCCAGAAGCCGGCTGGCCGGGTCATGGCAGAGCTCACCCTCCATGGGCAGCGGTGTGCACACAGGGAACAACAGGCCTGGAACCGGCCAAAGTCACCCCGACGCCACAGCACCAAGGCAGGCACCGGGAGGGGGAGCAGAAAAAGGGGGTGCAGCCTCCCACTTTCCCCCCTCAACCCCAATGTGCACATCAAGATTGAAGAAGTGGAATGAGAGGAAACAAGAATGGCAATATGGGCTCAAGAGAGGATGAGCTGGGAGGGCTGCCTGGAAGAGGCGGGCTTGTGGTGGATTTTGAGGCCAAAGGTCTGGAGAAATTAAGAAAGGAAGAAGGGTGTTCAAGGCTGGGGCACGGCACCAACAACAGCCTGGGGCTGGGCTCAGGCTGGGGCAGTGAAATTCCTAAAGAGGCTGAGGAGTAGTAAAGAGAGAAGGAGGACAGGTCAGCTGGAGCTGGCCAAGGCTTGGAAGGTGGACTGGAGAGTCTAACTAAAGTGACAGATCAGGAGTGGCTGCAACCTCCAGAGGAGTGACAGCCAGAAAGCCATCCTTGAGGGAAATTGCAGGAGCAGCAAGTACCAGGTGGACCGGAGGGATGGGGCAGTTGGCTAAGGGAGAGGTTTTTAGAAACACCTGTGGGACGGGAGGGTGCCTGAGCCGACCTCCCCTGGGAGGGGCCGTGAGCATGGAAGATGGGGACAGAAGAGGGCCATCCAGTTCACAGGAAACAGGACGGGAGCCAGGTGCTACCTCAGGCCTGGGGAGTGAGGTAGAGTGGGAGGGTAGAAGCTTGGGACGGGGCTTATACCCTGCACCCAAAAGGGAACCACCCACCTCTCTGGAAGGCACAGCACAGCCCAGGCTGGCAGTCCCTCTGGTTGTCACAGATGGTCCCGTTGCTCCCTTTGGTGGCTGCTTGGGTGCAATGACCCCAGACACAGAGTTGGTCTCCACAGCATTCACTGTCCCGGGTGCAGAGCTGGAGGTGGGAAAATACAACAGCCTGTGCCTCACAGACCTGGGAGAGCCTGAAGATACTACAGGTGAGCTAACTCGCATCGTCCCACTGCACAGAGGGGGAAACTGAGGGCCTAGGTCAGGGCGGGGGGATTTGTGGAAGCCACGGGAGCAGGGTCGGTAAGGCAGCCGCGAAGGGTCAGAACACTGGGAAAGTGGCACGAATAGGGGATGCATGAATGAATCTCAGTCTTCCTGCACAGCCTGAGATATTTCGCCTTTAAAGGATGTGGCGTGTCTTTGTGCTTCGCCCACAGACTCGTGCCCTGCCTCCTTCGTATGAGGCCCCTAGGTCAGGAAGGAAGGTGGCTTAGAGCCCACAGATGCAGGCGGCCATGTGATTCTTGTAAGCTGACTACATTAAGGCCCGAGCCCAGGAAGGCCAAGGGAATGTCAGGCACGTGGGTGCTGTGGGCCTGGAGTCACACGTGGGGAATGGCAATTAGAGAGCAAAGCGGGTTCCCCAGGGCCATGCCCAATGATGGCACCCAGCGGGACAGGCTGGGAGGGACAACTGCGGCCCCTAACCACGGATGAGGCCGGGATGGGTAGCAGCAGGGAGCCCTCTCTTTTCCAAACTTGTCACCGTGCTGTGTTACTGTCTTAATGATGAAAAAGGCCACGAAAAGTCTGAGGCCGAATGGCTTTTTCCAAACATCTGTTGGGTGGCGGAAGAGTCTCTGCTCCCCTGGTTTGCGCTTCTCTGAAAAAGCCCCATCACGGAAGCATTCTGGCTTCTTCCGGACCCTCCTTCTGCCGTCTCTGACGGGGCAGGCTGGAGAAAGATCTGGCCAGCGGGCTGCAGGCCAGGGGGGCGAGAGGCTGCCCTTTCCCTGCCCAGGGGCTGTTGCCGTGTCCCTGGCTGTGTCTACGGGACGGGCGTGCCCAGGGGAAGGGGCGGGTGTGGACCTCCCCCTGCCGTCCCCGAGGCAGCAGGTCTGCAGATGGCATCCCGGTCACTGCAGGAGTCGGCCCCACTGGCCATCATGGACAGGCTCTCCTGAGTAGGGACACAGTGGAGCTCCGTGGGAGGCTTCCAGGAAGCCCAGCTGAGACCGTGGGGCTGCTGGCCTTCTCCCCCAGGGCTCTTTGCTGGCCGCCCCTGGCCCTGGGGCCGCAGCCCCGGACACCTCTGGACACACTCACTGTCTGCTGGTCCCGGCACGGCTGGCAGGTGTACTGGAAGCTGGCAAACTGGCAGTACCTGCGGGGCCCGCAGTCCTCGTCAATGATGCACTCCTGGGTGGGGGCGGGGAGGGCAGCTTCATCAGGAAGGGCAGGTCAGCAACCCGCCAGGCCCGAAAGGGGCAAAGCCCCATTTATCCCCGTCTCAGCCCCTCAGGCTCCGGGCTCAGGGACAGCCTCCAGACGCCCCTCCCTCGCAGCCCTGCCCGCTCCCTGGGCTCACTCTGCACTGTCCACCCCCCGCCCCCCGGGCTGGCAGGGCCCTCACCCACACAGCGCGCCAGGCTTCTGCCCTCTCGGGTGCCACACCCAGTCCACACAATCGTCTCTGTGTGCAGCCTCCCCTCACACCCCGGGTGGGAAGCACAGAGACCCAGGGCCATTCTTCAGCACAGAGCAGATGGATTTAATAAAAAGAGCTAATGAGTTCCAGACCCCGGGCGGCTGCACAGGAGGGGCTGCAGTTCAGCGGGGCCTTGCTGACAGAGAAGGAAAAGGGTGGCCACAGGGAGCCCACCTCAGGGTCCTGGGTCTGACTGACAGACAAAGGCAGCTGCCAGCTTCCAAAAGGGAGGGGGCGTGGCTGCCATTCCGCCAGCCCAGGTGCTTTCTCCCTGCTGCCGGCCCCACTTGGCTGGTGAAATGGGGGAGGGAAGGAAGGAAGGGAATCTGTCCGGCACTGAGGTCCAGAGAGGGAGGTCACAGGAGGGTCACTGGCAGGAGCAGGGCTATGTCAGCTCAGACCTAGGAACTGGCAGCTGTGAAGGAAAGAAGGGCAGGAGAAGCGGGGAGGCCATGACAAGGACCCCCGTCCTGATCGGCCTGTGACCCCTCCAGCAGGGAGCCGCAGGGATGGCTGTTCCTGTGCTGCAGGCTGAAAAGGGAGGCCCCCGGGACAGGGCAGTTAGCTCAGGGTAGGGGGACTCTTTCCACCACTGGCCCCGGGAGAAGGGGCTCAGGGCTCCAGATGCAGCCGTCAGAGGCTTGTGGGTGAGAAAGGCCCTCCTGAGGCAGGGATTCTGGGGCCCTAGCAAACCTTGCAGAAGGTTCTTGGGGGAGGGAGGGACCTGTGCCCCGACTCTGACCAGGGCATGCTCCGTCCTGAAAGCAGGTGTGGGGCTGGACCTGGAAAGGCCCAGGTGGCAGGCGCTGGCCTGTGTGGTCCAGGCTAGTCCCCACTCCGCTCTGTGAACTGAGGCAGCAGTGCTCATGGGGTGGACGAAGAGCCTGCCAACGGGGCCTCCTGGGCCCCGTGGGGGCCAGGCTGTGTGGGTAGGCTCGGGGTCGGCGGGGGGGTGCTGGCCAGGCCGCTTAGAGAACTCACGGGCTCTGTTATAGGGAAGTGGTAGTGTCCCCGGTCCAGGTCTGGGTGTACCCCGGCCAACACTGCAGGCCTGAGAGGGGGTGCATTTGATCTAGGGTGGCTGCAGGCTTGGCTTCTGCAACCCCAGCCCTGGTACCGACCCCCAGCCTGGCACACCTCAGAGGTTCCTGCTCCGCTCACCACGCAGGCTTGCCCAGCCAGGAAGACTACGCGCCCCACCAGACTCCAGCCTCCCACGGCCCCGTCTGAAGGGTAACAGGGTGGAGGCCAACGTGGAGATGGGGTACAAGCCACCACTCTGCCCCAGGGGCTCCAGGGGAAACAAGGGCTGACACCCAGCATCCCTGAAAAGCAAGTTACATCTTCCCTGTAAGTCCTTTTAAAATATCAAAGGAGAGCACGTCGCCTTGGCGCCCTGCAAAATGTCCAAAAATTGCTCTTCTCTGTGTCTCCCCCAAGTCTGACTCATGTCAGCCCACTGATCACTGTGGCAAGCAGGGTCCTTCTCAAAGGAGTCGGTGTTTGTCCCTGTTCCCATGCCAACAACCCTAAAATGTCAGCGTGCCACCATCACTGTTTCACATGTGAGAAAACTAAGGCTGAGTGTTGGGGGGCAGCGGGTGAAAGGGCTGCCCGAGCCAAAAGCTGAGCTGGGGGCGGGCACTGAGTCTGTCTGACCCCAGAGCCCCTATGGCCTACGTCCACTGGGCTGTAAGGAAACCACAAGACGAGCTTTGTCTCAGCCACCACGCTGTCCTAGACATGGACCCAACTCTGCCAGTTCAGCTGGAAGCGTCCGGGCATTTCTGCCTAAGCAGAATAGCACAAGAATGGGATGGGAGGGAGGGCCAGCCCACAGGCATTGACTGTCTTTTCTGAACCCAGCCACGGTTTGGAGCACTGGGACCAATATAAGAAAGTCCTTGCCCTCAAGGAATTTATAATTCTTTTTTTTTTTTAAAGGCTACTCAATAGAAAAGGAGACAGAGGGGATAAGCAGACAACTCCCAGTAACAAATTGCTTTTCCTTTCCACACAGATAAAGATGTTTGACCTCACCAATAACCAAGAAAATGCAACTTAAAAGAGCAAGGTACCCTGTTTTCACTTAAATGGAAACAATGAGAAAGGTTGATAATATCTCTGATAGGCAGAATACAGCCCCCACCTAAAGTGTCCACATCCTCCTCCCTGGAACCTGTGGACACATCATGCTACATGGCAAGGAGACATAGTCACAGATGGAAGGAACTAAGGTTGCTCATCAGCTGACCTGATGATAAGGAGAGAACCCTGGATTTTTCAGGTGTGCCCCATGTAATCTCTGTAAGGGGCTAGGAAGATGGAAGAGGGGCAGAAACAGAGTCAGGGCGACGCCACGTGGGAAAGACGCCACCAGCCAACCAGACTGCGCCGGCTCTGCAGCGGGAGAGCCCGGGCCAGGAGCAGCCTCCCCACAGCCTCCCCTGGAGCCTCCGGAAGGAGCGCCGCCGGCCTGACACTTTGGTTCCCATCCGGGAGACTCCTGCTGGACTTCGGACTTGCAGACCATAAGATAATAAATTTGTGTTATTTTTAAACCACCAACTGTATAGTAAGCAGTTACTGTCGCAATAGGAAAGTAATTTAATATCCAATGTTGGTAGGGATTTGAGGAAATGAGCAGAACCAGACACTTTGGGGATATTAGAATGGAGCTAGATGTTTTTTGGAGGCAATTCATCAGAATCTATCAAAATTTAAATGTCCCCTGGCTGCTGTGGCTCAGTGGATTGAGCACCGGCCTGCTAACCAAAGGGTCCCCAGTTCGATTCCCTGTCACAGTGCATGCCTGGGTTGCATGCCAGGTCCTCAGTGGGGGGCACGCGAGAGGCAACCACACACTGATGTTTCTCTTCCTCTCTTTCTTGAAAATAAATAAATAAAATCTTAAAAAGAAATTAAACAAATGTATACTTTGACCCAATTTCCCTTCCAGGTGACTATCCTCAGAAACACTTGTCCACATGTATAAATATCTGAGTATAGGGGTGTTTAAGGCTACATTGTGATATTATTTCTAGTCCAGAAATAATGGAAATGGCCAAAAAGAGGGAACCAATTAAATTGGTGCATAGTCATCCCACCGGAAATGCCACTGGGCAGACATGAAAAAGAAGGAGGTTGTTCTTCGCATTGTAACATTTACATCAGTAAATAAAAGCAAGTGGAAGAACCATGAAACCCCACTTTTGTAAAGCAGAATGGCAATATGTATGATATGTGCTGTTGCCCAGCCCAGAGCCTGGCACATAGTGGCACATGGCAGATATGTGCTGAATGTATAAAATCACTTGTATGTTACCATGGCAAACTGGCTGACAAAATGCTGATCATTAGCAACGATTTGGGAACCAAAGCAAAAAACACAGATTCCATTCATTTGACTTCTCCTTTCCCAAGAATCCTGTTGACTGGGAATTTTCACTATATGCTTCCTCTTCCAGATCCTTAATTTAAAAAAATACGAGCTGAGGCTTTCTAGCACCAATCCCTGTGAGACCCCACTGTTTACAATTCTCTGAAAGAAAAGCCCGCATTCATCTTTAGGGACATTTTTCTTTCCTTAAACTGGCTCCTACACATGACAAAGCATTCCCTGCAAAGCCACAGTGAAGCAATTAATTTTTTTTGCAGATATGGAAAATATTTTGGCATGGAACTTGCTAAAGACTTTTGAAACACTGAAGTACAACGAAGCTCCTGGGTCCCTTTGCTGACATGTTTTTGCTACTACGAGGGGTCCGCCAATGGGAAAGTTCAGTGCTTTTGTTCTAACAGTCCCCTGGCTTGTCTGCTGTGGATGTGCATTCCCAGGAACCCGTAGGAAAACTCTCTAAGAATTGCGATCATACGGGAAAACTCTGAGCTCCAAAGCATGAACCCTAGAGGCCAAAAGAGCACACACTTTAAATCCTGGTCTTGCCACCTAATAGCCATGTGACCTAGTACCCTGGGGAGCGCCCCAACCAGGGGGCTACCTTGTTAGCAGAAAGGCAGATCCAAACAGGGGCTAATGTTCCCACCAGCAACTCCCCATCTTCCTCCCTGTCAGCACTTGTGGATGTCACATTGCGCCCTGACTTATCTGCATCCAGAGCATGTGTGGATAAAGGAGCCCATATGCCCATAGGAGTAAAGTTCCTGGAGCAGAGTGGCCTCTCGTGTGCAGACCAGGCTTCCCACACAGTAAGATTGTTAGTTTGGGGTGTCTCTTGAGGACCCCTTACTAGTAGGGGGCAGGATCCCACATTTCCTGGTGTCAGAGGCCTGGGAAACAGGTCAGATCCTCCCCCAGTAAATAAAACTTAATGGGTGGGAGGGGAGGACATGGGTGGGTCCTCCCCTGTCCTCCCCTCCCACCCAGAAGTGAAATTAGAGACACTCAGCAGTGCAGAAGGCAGGCGCCTGAGTGCCCCCAGGCAGGGAGAGGGGAGGGGGCGGCCGCCACCCCTGCCCTCGGAGCCTCCAGCATGCCACCGTCTGGAGGGCCACCAGCACCTGCCGCTTGTCACAAGTTCTCCTTAATTCCCTCCACATGGGTCTTATTATCCACATGTCACAGATGTGGAAGCTGACATTTAAGGTGAAGTATCTGCCCAGAGTCACCCAGCTGAGAGGTGAAGTTGGGAGTTCAAACCAGTGGGTCAGATACTAAAGTTAGGCTCTTTCTCTTCCTCCTGGAAGGTCG